CGTTCGGGCTCCTCGTGGTGTGAGTCGTTCGGGCCGCTCGTCCTGGTGTGCGTCGCTCGGGCCCCTCGCCCTGGGGTGAGTCGTTCGGCCTCCTCGTGGGGCCTCTTGGGGGCCTCTTGGAGGCCTGTGGGGCCTCCTGAGGGCCTCTGGGGGACCTCCTGAGGGCTTCCTGGGGGCCTCCTGGGGCGTCTTGGGGCCTCTTGGGGGCCTCTTGGGGGCCTCTTGGGGGCCTCTTGGGTCCTCTTGGGAGCCTCTTGGGGGCGTCTGGGAAGCCTCTTGGGAGCCTCCTGGGGGCCCTTGGGGCCAGCTTGGAGCCTCGTGCGATCCCTCAGAAGCGCGAATGAGCAATGCCCCCTGAGAAGGACAGAATAACCCAAAACCTTCGTAAAATCAATTGTTGTGCTGTGAAGGAACAGGAGCGCTGCTCCCTCCGAGCGCCGAAATGGGGCCGAAACATAGAGTAGATTATATCGGCCACTTGTTGTTGTGATGCATGTTTCACTCCTTGCCCCATTGGGCCCGCCCTCGTGGCAGCAGCGTTGTGGCGGCTAACGCTCGAGGACATGCAGGCACGCCAGAGATAATGCGAGAGTTCGCGTTTGTGTGCGTTGCAGATATGTGAGTCGTTCCGGCTCTTCGTGGTATGAGTCGTTCGGGCCCCTCGTCCTTCCTTGTGTGACTCCTTCGGGCCCCTCATTGTGTGTAAGTCGTTCGGGCTCCTCGTGGTGTGAGTCCCCTCCTTGTGTGTGAGTCGTTCGGTCCCCTCCTCCTGGTGTAACTCGTTCGGGCTCCTCGTGATGTGAGTCGTTCGGGGCCCGCGTCGTGGTGTGAGTCGTTCGGGCTCCTCGTGGTGTGAGTCGTTCGGGCGCCTCGTCCTGGTGTGAGTCGTTCGGGCCATTCCTTGTGGTGTGAGTCGTTCGGGCTCCTCGTGGTGTGAGTCGTTGGGGTCTCTCGTCCTGGTGTGAGTCGTTCGGGCTCCTCGTGGGGCCTGTTGGGGGCCTCTTGGAGCCTCTTGGGGCCTCTTGGGGGCGTCTTGGGGGCCTCTTGGGGGCGTCTTGGGGGCCTCTTGGAGCCTCTTGGGGCCTCTTGGGGGCCTCTTGGGAGCCTTTTGGGGACCTCTTGGGGCCTCTTGGGGCCTCTTGGAGGCCTCTTGGAGGCCTCTTGGGAGCCTCCTGGGGGCCCTTGGGGCCATCTTGGGGCCTCTTGCGACCTCCTCAGAAGCGCAAATGAGCGCTGCCCCCTGAGAAGGACAAAATGAGCCCAAAACCTCCGTACAATCAATGATTTTGCTATGCAGGAAGAGGAGCGCGGCCCCCTCAGAAGGCCAACGTGCGGCCAACACCGTAGTAAAATCAATGTTTTTTGCTTCAAAGACGAGCTGAGGCGCCAAACTCCCCCCCCCCCTCAGGGCCAGAATCCTCGTGAGGGTCGTCGTTTTTTGGCCCTCCCAGGAGTCGACAAAGACCCCCGTGACTACGCTCGGGACTCTCTCTCCAGGTCCAGGGGGAGGGGGTAGGGGGAGGGGTAAACCCCTCCCCGAAGGGGAAGAAGGGGGGTTGAGGACAGAGAGAGCTCGCTAAACCACTCACGCCCAAAGGGCTGGTGGGATTATCGTTATTTTTATTATTATCATCATTATTATCATTATTATCATTATTATCATTATCATTATTATTATTACTATTATTATTATTATTATTTTTATTATTATTATCGATATTATCATTATTATCATCATTATTATTATTGTTACTATTATTATTCGTATTAATACTACTATTACTTGGAATATTATTATTCGCATCATTTAGAACCTATTTTTATTTTTGATTTTAGTATCATTATCATGCATACCACCAATACTATTATTATGATTGTTATTCTTGCTACTTGTTATCATTATTTTTTGTTTCGAGAAGGCGATGTTGGAAGCAGGGCCAGCGGGTGCTCTCCATCAGCTCCGCCTTGTGTGGCGCTTTTCGGGGAGCCCGCTGCTGCCGCCTTGGGCCAGCCCCCCGCCGCCTCCGTCCCGGCCCCGGCCGCCGCCCCCGGCCCGCCTGGCCCCCGGAACCGCCCCCGGCCTTGCTGCCGCCGCGCCAGCGCGTGGAGACGCTCCCGACGCGGCCCCCCTTGCCGCCGTCGGCCCGCGGGCGTGCGAGGACTGGTGCGTGGACCACGGGCAGGTGTTATTCGGCCAGCTGACCTTGACCCCTGGCTCAGGGCACTGGACGCCGGGCTTGCCCGCTTCGGCGACTCCCGCGGCTCTATCGCCGAGGGCACGGCCAAGAGCTCCTGCCGCCTGCTCTGCCCTCCAGAACAGCGCCACCTCCACGACGGCTGGGACGCCGACTCCGTGCGCGCTACCTGTAACGACTTCGACCCACGCGGCCCCACGCTCGCCCTGGGCGCCCCGTTGGGCAGCGAAGAGGCTCTGGACGAAGAGGTCAAAGCGGTTGTGGAGCAGGCCCGGGCTGCCCGCCTTGCGCTTCTCAGCGTCAGC